ATTACAATAAAATTAAAACCTTGGGTTCATCAAAAAAACACTGTTAAAGAAGGGGAAACGCCAGGTCTAGCGCGGAAGAGTATGTCTGCAATACAAATATCTGACCAGGGAACAGAGCACAGTGTTGCCCCCAGAGTTTGAACGCCCTAGAACTTGGAATCGGAACGAAAAATTCAGCAAAGTTTGCCCCCAAATCTGAATGCTGCTTTGGAATCTGAAGGCCCACACATTGCTCGTGTGTTTTTGCGCTATGTTTCCCAGGTGCTCAGCCCACCGTTCGCTTTGCTGTTCAGCTCGTTGTCACAAGGTCTAGTGAGAACATCTTGTGGGATTTTTACTGCTAATTTTTGCTTTTGTGCCTGCTTTTTTTTTTTTTTTAACATATGTAATAAAAACTAAGCGTATTTTCCATGGGTCTTAACAGAAAGCTGCTAGCGCTACAATTGAAGTCACGAAAGTTCTTCTCAATAAGCACCAAAGTGGTGCACCCATGGTTGATCTTGCCACCTGTCCAGGATGCCTGAATCATTTGTTTGTATGATTTTGAAAAATAAAGGAGCTATCAAAGCAGTTGATGTGGCAAAAGGGGTTACAACGATGACCTATAGGAGATGGAAAAACTTCCCTTAGTTTGGACTAATGAAAACCACCTGGCTGGTGATGTGGTTTCTGAGAAGATCGCTTGTGAGGAAGCCGAGGTCCTCCACCACGATTTAGTGAAGCGCATGCCTGATACTAGAGCTCAAAAGGAGGAGTCTACAGCCCAGAGGAGGCGATTTGAGAACTTGGAGAAAAGGACTGGGATCCACAGTACTACGCACAGAGAGGCTGCCAGTTCTAATTCTGAAGCAGCAGAAATGTTATAAAGGAGTTTAAGGAGGTTATGATCAGTGAGGGGTATGTTTCCAATCAAGTGTTCATTCAATGTGAAACGGGCCTTATAGTTTTAGGTTTTATATTTTTCATTTTATTAATTTACATTCTTATTCAAATATTATTTATTAATATTTTACCTTAAAATCCAGTGTATTTACTGTTAAAATCATTTGAAAAATTCGACTTTGTGGTACCCAGGAGTGGATTAATCCAGTTCATATTATTTTAAATGGGAAAAATTGTCTTGGAACTCGAATGGGGATCTAGAATGGGTTAAGTTCAGGTTCCAAGGTATCACTATATATACATAATTACCATACATCAATAAGCAAAAAGCAATCACCTAAAGAGAAAATAGGGAAAAGACTTAAATAAATAATTCTTAAAAGGAGATACCAAAGGATCCATTAAAAAGATGCTCAACTTCATCAGTTACCAGAGAAATGCACTTCTCAACCATCATGGTGTGCCCGTGCATAAAATCCAGAATGACTGGAAATGAAAAAGGACAATAGCAAATGGTGGCAAAGATACAAAGCAAATCGGATTTTTCCATACAATTTTAAGGAAGAGTATAAAGTGGTAGAAGCACTTTGGGTAACTATTGGGCAATGTCTACAAAACCTGAACATTCACATCCCTATAACCCAGAGATTCCACTTAATAGATACCAAGAGAAATGCAAATACATGTTCACCAAACAGACACATACAACTACATGTCCAATAGCCCAACACTAGCCAACAACCCACATGCCTATCAACAGAGTGGGTAAATAAATGTAGTATATTTATACAAACAAAAACTATTCAGTAATGAGAATGAATGAATTATACCTACGGAACATAATAAGGAAAAATTTAACAAGCATACTGTTAAAATAAAGAAGCCAGACAAAAGAGCATCTTTTCTGTAATTCCATTTGTATGAAGTCCAAAAGGAGGAAATATTAATTTAAAGTGTTAGAAATTGGTAGAGTGAAAATTCTTGGTGAGAAGCGGCAGTTGTAGGGGGTTGTTGTAAGCAAAATGCATTTATCAAATGTCTTATTAAAAGGCACATTACTTGAGTTCTTTACTTTTGCATTTGTTAATAGCATCATCTGTATTTCAAGTGGGGTAAATAACAAAATAGTAAAAACACCAAATTATTTGTGTCTAAGATATGAATTCAGTTTAGGTTGCCAATCTTTCCTCCTCTAAAGTCTACGTAAAATGTATGTTTAAATTTTGCAAACTTACAATTCCCTTTCCGAAGCCTTTAAAAGAGAAAAAGTGAGAAAATTATTTTGAAATAAATTAAACTCAGGCAGCCACTTTCCCACTTAACCTTTTAGCCCATCTGGCTGATTTTGAACATTTTAGAGCTCTGTTTCTCAAAGCCCAGCATACAGACCTCACACATTATTATTCTCTTGGACATAGAAGTGTGGTTGGATATAGACATGAAGAACTTGACCTCCAGGCCACCAGATGCACATAGTATTTTCCAGCCAACAATCTGTTCCTATAGATGTTTCATTTTATATAGATCTGTTGACATAGCCATTTAAGAACAGAAACTACCTCATAGGGCTGTTGTAAGGATTAAATGAGACTACCCATGTAAAAAAGCATTCTTTCTGAACATAGGGACTGCTCAGTAGATGCTAACATTGAATACTAGCATTTGTAATTTATTATTAATAATGACATCTTCAGAATAACTTGACATGCTCATTCAATCACTATTTATTTCCGGGCTCAACCTCAGACCTACTGAAGCTGAATTGATGGTTTGGCCTAGGAATCTGCATTTTAACTACCACTTTGGGGTGTTTCTTTTTGCACACCCAAATTTGAGAATAACTATGCAGAAATTTGGAATTATTTCTTATTTGTTCCTCATAGCTCCAATATAGGAATCTACACACAATGTTTGTTGATGGACTCACTGATATTTAATAGTGCTAGACTGGTATGATGTAAATTATTAAAGGAATCTGGAACTTTTCATAAATTTCTGTAGTAGAAGGAAACCTGGTTTTTCTTACATCTGTGTTCATTTAAAGAAAAGTTCCAGCAATTTGTCTAAAAGGAAAACTGTAGTGAAAAATGTCATCAACTGTGTAATTCAAATAGAATTTAGGTCAAATCATAGTAGCTATTTGAACTCTTTGTGTATAAAAACAACACAATTTGTTGCACTGCCTAGAAAATTTTAATAGGGAAAAAAAAAATCCTCTCATTAGATGTTTTATTGCATTCAAACTATAGAGGCCTCACCTTTGACCAAAGAGAAAAATTAGGAACTATTCCTAGCTTAGTTTCTGTTTCAGCCCATTAAGTTAACATACATAGAAGTTAAAAGATAAAACCTAGATATTTTACCAGTGCAAGGTTATGTTTGAGAATAATGGTGGGGGAAGTGTGATGAAAATCCTTGAATGTAGGCATTATTGTGAAAAATAAATTCATAGAGTTACATATTTTCAACTACTGTTGGCTGACTGTGTAAATCCAAATTCTATAATTCAGTTGAAGACGTCCACTGATGCTTTATGACCCATTTAATATTCAACATTGAATATTGATTATCAGGCAGCCCACCAAATATAAAGATGGTTGGAATTAGACATGAAGGACTTGAACTCTAGGCCACCAGAGGCACATGGCACTTTCCAGCCAACAATCTGTTTCTTTATAAAAATCAAATGTTCTTGATTTCCTGATGCCACAATTAACCTTTGAAATAGCTCTGAAATACATACAGTGAGACTTCTTTCTCTCAGTCTCAAGAGAGGGAAGGATGGGATTTTTTTTATCCCTTTCTGGCAAAAATGCTAAGTTCTGACAGTTTGCTAAGTAGTGGAAATCATGCTGTAAGCAAGTCTCTACAAGACAGAGATTCCTACAAAATAGTCTTTATTTTTCCAGTGGATATTGGCGACTCTCATAGGATCCAATTCCAAGAACAACTTCTCTGAAGCAAGGGTTCCCTGCCCTGCAAGTGAAATCACAAGACACACAGGTTGACGCTACTAAGGCTTCTCTTCTACCTCCATCCCGGGTGACCCCTGGCCCTCCTAGTTTATGCCCACCCCACAGGCTAAACTAGGACATTAAAATCAAATGTCCAAATAGTCTATATTCTGATGGAGTGGAGTAAAAATATGAGCAATGTGTAAACACATTAAGTAGAAGATTTGGCTATTTAGCAAAGCAATAACTACATTAAAACCACACTACTTAAGCATCCAAATAATCTAATTTTTGTTAATCAAAACATTTTCAGGTATATAAAAAGTAGCAGAAACTTCATAAGAAGGTTGACTCCTGTTGAGCATTTGCCATCCAATTACTTTGCATTCTGATCACTGCCCTGGTAATTGAATATGGCCTTCATTAGTGATCTCCTATCCTGATCTCTGCCCTGGTAACTGAATATGGCCTTCATTGGTGATCTCCTATCCTGATCTCTGCCCTGGTAACTGAATATGGCCTTCATTGGTGATCTCCTATCCTGATCACTGCCCTGGTAACTGAATATGGCCTTCATTGGTGATCTCCTATCCTGATCACTGCCCTGGTAACTGAATATGGCCTTCATTAGTGATCTCCTATCCTGTGTACACTCGGCATATTTTATATTACCTTCCTTCTGTTTCCTTGGCCCCCTTTCTCTCTGCCATGAATGGTAGCTTTGATAGGTGAATTCTTGACTTAAAGACAACCCAAGAAGCACAGAAAAAGTTCGGTCTGGCTTCTTACCAGTGATAGTGAGAGTGAATTCTGTTGTGACTCCTGAAGCAAAATCTGAGCATGCTCAAAAGTTAGAATAGCTCTGGAAAAGAAGATCGCTTTTGGAGTTCTGCGGTTGGTGAGTGAGTGGTGAACAAGATCTGATCTCATTTTAAAACTCATAGCTGGCTCTGAGAGTAAGAAAAACCAGACTAGTGAGTGATTAGATTGTCAAGATCATTAACAGGGCATCTATTTTAATATTCACAGCAACCCAGTACCATAAGTCATTCATTCATTCAGTTATTTCCCCATACTTCTGTTACTTCCTTAAATGAACTCTGGATCTTAATTAAATGTTTAACATTTCTCCAAGGAATAAATATAAGAAGCAGAAATACTTACTTTCCAGTAATAAATTGGCTCCTGGAAGGTGTGCAAATCGGCTGCACGTAGTAGTTCTCCAGTTTGACTCCTTCCGCAGCGAGCTTGTCCAGAGTGGGCGTTTTTATCTCAGATCCATGGTAACCCACATCTCTAAATCCCTGATCATCAGCTAAGATGAAAATTAGATGAGGCTGGGAGGTGGCAGCTGTAATGGACTCTAGTCTCTCTCCAGCTTGACCTAGTAAGGCCCCTTCCTCTTCTTCTTTTAAGCTCTGGCCCCAAGACAGGTAACCATAGGT